CCATGATTCTGTTCTCACGCTATCGCTGTTGTGGGCAAGCACTTTAAATGGACTAAATTAGTCAACCAACAAATGGTTTACTTCTAGTTGTCCCTGCATATTAAGTCATTATAGGAGAGAGGTTTTTTTTAGAGGGGTCCTATTATGCCCTTTTTTTAAATCTTGATTTTTGGGGGGGGGGGTTTACTAGAATAGATTTTCATGCTTGGAATGTTTGAAAAATATATTATTTTCCCACATATTTTACATTGTTGCAGCACCTCTCTTCCCAGTCTGTCAGTAACGCTCTGGGGTGTGTTTCCCGTACGACGCTGAATAACTACCACAGTATGAGGCACCGTCGGAGAAACTAACCACCGTTGTTTCCCGAAACCGTAGTAACATGGTCGCACCTCTGTCATTTAAACCACATTGGTTCAACAATATAGGACTGTCGTTAATGAAGTCACACGCAGATGGAGGAGTAATAACTTCTGCTGATCAATCTATTCGAGATCTCAGAGATGCTGCTGGATCGTACATGGGACTTAATGACTACTTTACTGGTTTTGTTCCAAGTCATTTTGCTTAATTTGATGTTTGATTCATCGCGGACTTCCTCACACGTCAAGGGTTGCCTTGCGCATTTAGGCACATGCGCACTGCTCAAAAACGCAGTCAATTGTTAAAGGGATACTCCACCGTTTTTCCATATTAAACTATGTTATTCCTTTAACTAAGACGAGTTGATACATACCTCTCTCATCTCAGTGCACTCAATCGCTCTGGCGGCGCAGTAATATCATCACTCGTGAAAAGTCCTCTCCCTCTCCGGAGTGATGATATTACTGCGCCGAGTCCATAGATATATATGCGCCGAGTCGAAGTGCTCCCAAGCACTTGCTATGGTATTCCGCCATACATTATAGTTATCCATTTTACACGCTTAGAAAAGCTTAACGTTTTATTTTGTGTCACCATTCTTGGTCGAGTTACACTACTCGTGTAACTGTATTTAAATAGGGAAAACGTGGAGGTGTTTGGTCGCTTCTCTGCTTGGATCCTAATGAATGAACTGGGCTAAGCTAAGTGCTATCAAAGTGTCTCGCGCGCCAGAGCGATTGAGTGCACTGAGACAAGAGAAGTATGTATCAACTCGTCTTAGTTAAGGGAATAACATAGTTTAATATGAAAAAAAGGTGGAGTATCCCTTTAACACGTCAAAATATATAGAATAAAATGTAGTATATACACTACTGGTCAAAAGTTTTAGATCGGTAAGATTTGTTTTTTTTTAAAAAGAAGTCTCTTCTGCTCACCATGGCGGCATTTATTTGATCAAAACAAAAACAGTGATATTGTGAAATATTATGGCAATTTAAAATGACTGTTTTCTATTTTTATATATTAAAATGTAAGTTATTCCTCTGATGAAAGCTGAATTTTCAGCATCATTACTCCAGTCTTCAGTGTCACATGATCCTTCAGAAATCATTCTAATATGCTGATTTTATGTTAAAAAAAAACATTCATTATTATTTTCAATGTTGAAAACATTTGAAGCACAATGTTGAAGCATTTTTTTTTCAAAATTCTTTGATGAATAGAAAGTTCAAAAGAACAGCATTTATTTAAAATAGAATATTTTCTAACATTATAAATGTCTTTACTGTAACTTTTGATCAATTTAACTCATCCTTGATGAATAAAAGGATTGAATTATTTTACCTCTTTCCCCCCAAAAATAAAATAACAATTCTTACTGACCCCAAATTTTGAAGGTTAGTGTTATAAAAGCTTTCTATTTCAGATAAATGCTGTTCTTTTGAAGTTTCTATTCATCAAAGAATCCTGAAATAAAAATGTAATGAACAGTTTTCAACATTGATAATAATCATAAATGTTTCTTGAGCACCAAATCATCATATTAGAATGATTTCTGAAGGATCATGTGACACTGAAGACTGGAGTAATGATGCTGATAATTCAGCTTTGATCACAGGAATAAATTACACTTTACTATATATTCACATAGAAACCATGACATGTTTGTATTTTTAATCAAATAAATGCAGCCTCGGTGAGCAGAAGATACTTTTTAAAAAGATTACAAATCTTACCGATCTAAAACTTTTGACCGGGAGTGTATATTTAAATAGAATGATAGATTATAGAATGCACTGAATGTTAACTTGCTTATTGTGCCCAAGAGCATGGTATATTAAAGTCCACATGTCATTTAACAAGAAACTATGTAGTTCCAACCACGTAATTTTGCGATGCTGTTTACTTTTACCCTTTCCATAACCACAAGTTTCAACACACTACTAATGAAAATCAACCAGGCCTTGTTTTTTTTGTGTGTGTATGCCTTGCCTATGAGTTATTTAAATGAGCGAAATTGTGACCTCTGCATTCCTGGAAGAAAACTCAAGACTACAATTGAGGCGTTTCAGGGAGTTCAGAAACTGCGCTCTGATATAGAGAATAATTCCCTTTTGGTGTGGACTTTGTGCTTTCTAACTTTGCAGACCTTATTCATGCTCAAACAGCGACATTACACACTAAAGGAAGTTGAAAATGTTCAAAAGCATAATAGGACCTCTTTAATTGTCACTAATGTTTGTGGCAGCATGAAAACTTTGAAGAGCAGATGCAAGGGATGAAGACCCAACTTATTCAGCTCAGCACTTTGCTTCGTCTGCTAGATCTGGCCTTCTGGAACTACCTGGGTAAGATACCCAGAGGAAGACTTATTAGAAATAGTCTTTTTCATTAATGTTGACCATCAGTAGGCATTGTGTTTACTTCTGTATTTATGTGTTTTCACAGAGGCACAGGATTCTGGGTACTTATATTTCTGTTTTCGCTGGTTATTGATCCGATTCAAGAGAGAGCTACATTTTCAGGACGTCCTTCGCCTTTGGGAGGTGTGTAATAACTATCCTTTTTTTTGTTGTTTGGGGCCATCAATCCATTTCTTTGTTTCTCAGGACATTGCAGCTACTGTCTATTATAATTTTGATTATACTTATGTGTTATATTGGCATTTGATTTAATATTTTCTTCAATTTATATTTTCCCATTCAGGTTATGTGGACCAGACTGCCTTGCCAAAACTTTCACCTTCTGGTGTGCTGTGCCATTTTAGACTCTGAGAAACAAAAAATAATGGACAGAAAATATGGATTTAATGAAATCCTGAAGGTAAGCCTTAACTATATCTTATACCATGCTGAAGTTTAGGGTCAGTAAGATTTATTTCTTTGCCAATTAATGCTTTAATTCAACAAGGATGCATTAAATTGATCAAAAGTGACAATACAGAATTTTTTTTTTTTTTAATAGTTTTTAATAAATGCTGTAAATGTTTTTAAACTTTCTATTTATCAAAAAATCCTGAATATATCATGGTTTCCACAAAAAAATGTTAAGCAGAACAACGGTTTTCAACATTGATAATAATTAGACATTTTTCTTGAACTTTTGAATTGTAGTATATGTATCTACATCTTGCAACATACATAAATTAGATTGTGAGAAAAATAGTTCACCTATTGATATGTTTTCTTTACAGCATATAAATGAACTCTCCATGAAACTGGACATTGAAGAAATCCTTAGCAAATCTGAATCTATCTGTATGCAGATAAAGAATTGTAAGGTATGTCATATGCATGATTGCAGATAGTGGGGTATTTGAACAAAATACAAAATATCTAGAAAATTGTTCCGGTAATACAAGTTTTGAAGCTCTTCTTTTTCCCCTCTAAGGACTTGCCCCATTCAGTGAGTGAGATTCTGGGCCTCAACACAGTCACTGAACCCTCTGCAGCATTAGAAACCAGTGAATATGGAATACTTGAGTCACCTCAAACCTCACCAAGATCCTCACACAGACAAGATCACGTCGTCTCCAACGGCCACAGCCATCTAAAAGAAACAACACACAACGGCTGCAAAGTAGCCTTCATTTCCTAGTGTACAGCACTACATGATGTATAGTACAGACTTTATATCCCCTGTATTCCAGCAAGATGAACAGTGTTGGGTGTCATGTAGATATTTGCTACCAAATGCCACATTGTAAAAGAAAAGGAAAGAAAACGCAGAGAAAATATATGAATGTAAAACTAGGATCCAAAAGGATCCTAAAGCATTATTTTTGTAAAATCTTGTACCATAATGTCTTTCATTGAAATAATCATTCCTTCTCACTGTATAGAGAGAGTTTTCATAATGTTTCAGAGGTGGGGTATCCATTGTTGAATATTATATATATTTTTTGTTCTTATCAGTTTGCCCTTTTCCTAAATAATTCAGATTCAAATTAAAATCTGTCTTCCATTAGTCTGTGAGTTATCTTTCAGCTGTTGTAGACTGGTTACTCTCTATCTTTTAGCAGTAGTGGAACTCAATCTTTGTAAATAACACTTAACCCAAAATTGAACATACATGTCCATTGCGCCTGCTGTCGCCCATGTCTTTGTCCAATGAAGAGAGACATTTTGGGTTATGTAATATTACATTAGTTAATGTGTTACATAACTCGAGATTTAATTAGGTAAGAGTACTTTGTAATTAGGTAGTCACCTTAGATACAATTTGCAAAGGCACACAAAAACAAAACGATTTAACTGTCTTCGTAATAGTAAGTGAGGAAAATTTGCTTGGCTAAACTAAAGGCAATAGTTCCAACTGCCAACTGTGGCTTGAGATTATTCAAAGTCGGTAGCCTTGGTTCAGAGGTTCTGCTATGACATTTGCGGAAGAGATGGAGAGTCTGTGAAAATATTGATTGATGATGAAATGTATTTTATCCACTCATAACCACAGCCCACAACAAAGGCGCACGGAATCAACTTCCATCTCTTTCATTTCCTGTTCCACAGGAAATTGCCTCAGAGGAAGCTGATAGCTCACTGCTCACCGCAGTAATGTTATCTCTCTTCTAGCTCTCTTTCATTAAAAAAAACGGCAGCATTTTGTGCACTGACAAACGTACTTATTTGCCAAATATGCATCTGACCTCAAAGGAGGTGACATTTACATAAATAATGCTGACATTTAAGTTCATACTTCATGGAAATGAATGCTCTAATCTCACTGAAGCTCTTATTTTCCTTGCTTTCTATGTTGAACATGTTTCTAAATCCTGCCTCTGAAGGATGCACTGTACAAAGGCATTTATATCTTACAAAAATGGTGGGTGATGTCCTCCCCCTCTTTTCCTTCACATCTGTAAAATGAAGCCACATTTATGTGAATCTTGAAATCTTGATGACTTTGCTCTAGATTCATTTCTCCTAGAGGGTGAGATGAGCTTATCCACTTCAATCAGGTCTTGGACGAGCCGACATTTCCTAATGGAAGAGCCATCCCCTCAAAAGCCAATATGAGTGATAGCCTACCCTGTGCGAGAGTGGCCCTTCTCAACGTCATTCGTCACAGTATATAATCCCAGCTCTGATACTGACGGGGGAGGAGTGTCAGGTACTGTGGCACATGCAAAGTGCTCCCTGTGATCTCCAAGGGACAGCTTAAAGAAAAATCAATAGTACCTTTGCCATAGGAAATGCAGGGAAAGAAGACATCTCAAGAAACACTAACTATGTCCGGCTCTGAACTACAAGCCAATGCGAAGGGGCCGCAGACAGCCCCTAAATCACCTATTGGGCTACTTAGGAAGAGGGGTCAAGATGTAATTCCGAAGATGCAACCTGCTATGATGATGTTCTCCAGCAAATACTGGGCTCGGCGAGGACTATCTTTGGATTCAGCAATGTATGACCAACAACACCTTGCAACCTCAATGGTGAGGACTGAACTTGACCCTATTTTGGGCACCACATTTTCTATAGTCAAATTGCCATACTATTTGTTTATAATGAACCGTGATTTCAATAATTTGAAATGGTTTTTTTCCCCAAATAAATATAAAATTGCTTTTGTTTTTTTTAAACTACTAGTTACTTGCATGAATCATTGATTTACACTGGAAAACTTAGTGTCTGTTGGTTATTCTGGATGTAGAGGCAAATCCAATTTAATGTTTTCTTACAAAATTCATAACTGACTGAGAGCTTTGGCAGCTGGAACTGTGGACAATGATGCAGTACAATTTTTTTTACAAAAAATTAGAAGTCGGTCAAATTGTCTCTCAGTGTAAATTCTTCTTTTGCATTTGTTAATTACCACTCTTGTAATAAATAAAAAAAAAACAGCTTTTATCTTAACCTATTTCTGCATCTTAAGAGTTTTTATATTTACTAAACACCTCCAAGCAGCTCCGCAGGACATCCTTTAATCGGATAGATGAAAGACCTGACAAAGAGGAACAGAAATCCACCTATGACCTTGGGAAATTAGCAGTGATTTTCTCTCTGAAGAATGAAGTGGGCTGTCTGGTGAAAGCGCTAAGACTCTTTCAGGTTAGTGAACACCTTATCCTTTGGTGGGGTAGATTAATATTACACTTTAATAAGGGAACCTTATGCATAGTACTTGTTTAATAATAATATGTTTTGATTAAGACAGTGAAAATGAAACCAAAGTGACATCCTGCTGTTCTGTTTACTGTACGTTTAAAGGAGAAACATGTGAATTTGGCCCACATTGAGTCTCGCAGATCCAAGAGAGTCCCCAATGAGGTGGAGATATATGCAGAGTGCAACTGCACAAAAAAAGAGTTCAATGAGCTTGTGCAGCACCTGAAAGACCACGTCAACATCGTCTCATATAACACACCTCAACAAGTGTGGTCTGCAGAGACTGGTAAGTTCTCTGTGAAAGAATTGCCAGTGTAATGACTGTGACATTGTTACTGATTCATCTGTCTCTTTATTCCAGACTGTTTGGACTGTGTGTGTGTTTTGGGAGGATTGGCAGATGGGGAAGGAATACCATGGTTTCCCCAAAAGATCTCAGAGCTGGACCAATGTTCACATAGAGTGTTAATGTACGGCTCAGAACTGGATGCTGACCATCCGGTAAGTAAATCTGTTAAATGTTTAGTAGCCCAATGGTGGAGTGAACAATACTTTTACAGCATTAATTAATTATGGTTAATGTGAATTTCTAGATAGACTAATACATTCATATTTAAAGTTGATTATCATGGGTTAAAATAGACATGATGAATAATAGAATAATCCCATGACACGTTTTTTTGGGAGGGACAAAATCAAGTCCCGCCCTCATTTTTTTGTTTTGTTTAAGAAGCAGTTTCACTTGGATATACATCACAAACGGGAAGAAAAGACTATCACAACTTCCATTTCATGCCGACTTTTACTAATGTTAACAAATTGAACCTTATAGTAAAGTTATTCTCTGTTCTCTATTGCAGGGCTTCAAAGACAAGGTGTATCGGCAGAGGAGGAAGTACTTTGTGGAGGTTGCAATGAACTATAAATTGTTAGTATAGATTATAATAGTTTATATTCTTTTGTAGTTGATTTTGCTATTGGGTTCTTGTAGCTCAATTATTAGAGCATGGCACTAACAACACTAAAAATAGATGCATAACACACTGCCCGGACAAAAAAAAAAGTTGCTGTTTGGATTTAAATAGGCAAAGCTTAAGAGTCTATGATTGGATCATTATTGCAGTGATTATTATATTTCTAGCATGTCATGTGTTTGGCAACAATTCTTCTAACACTAATTGATGGAGTGTGTAGCTTTTCATTTCTTAGGAAGACACACCATGGCCATATTCCAGGATGACAAAACCAAGATTCATCAGGCTCAAATTGTGAAAAAATGGTTGGGAGGGAGCATGAAGAATCATTTTCACATATGAATTGGACCTCCAGAATTGGAGTCCAGACCTTAAATTCATTGAAAGTCTTTGAGTCGACTTTACAGAGTGCTTGATTCTTGCATTGTCAATATAAGATCTTGACCAATAACATCACAACATTTATTTTCATCAAGAGGTGCATCAATTTTTGGTCAAGATCTTGGTCTGGACTCAGAGGTGCCAATTCATGTATGAACATGATTCTTCATGCTCACTCCCAACCATTCTTTCACAATTTGAGCCTGATGAATCTTGACATTGTCATCCTGGATTATGGCCATTATGTGTTTTCCTACATGGTTGTTTAAGAAATGAAAAGCAACACACTCCATCAATTAGGGTTAGAAGAACTGTTGCCAAACATATCCAGTCATAGACTCTGAAGCATTTGCCTATTTAAATCCAAACAGCCAGGCAGTGTACAATTACATAAATGGAAATAACATGAAACTGCAGTTAGAGTAGTAGTCTTACAAATTGACTAACTGAAATGACAGTCAATTTTTTCTTCCCCTTTTCTTGCGTAAAATTAATCCGAATGTCTTTTGTGTAACAGTGGGCAGCCCATCCCACGAATAGAGTACACACCAGAGGAAGTGAAGACATGGGGAGTCGTTTTCAGAGAACTTACAAAACTCTATCCAACTCACGCCTGCCGCGAGTACTTGAAAAACCTCCCTCTTCTCACAAAGCATTGTGGGTACAGAGAGGACAACATTCCACAGCTGGAAGATGTGTCTCTGTTCTTACGAGGTAAAAGAAAAAAAACGTGAAAACCATGGAACTGCTTTCTTCTTGCATTATTAATTCCTCTCATTCTATGACAAAGAAGTCAACTCTCTTTAATGTGGTGGTTTGGGTTGTGACCTTTGCAGAGAGGTCAGGGTTTACCGTACGACCTGTGGCTGGATATCTGTCACCACGAGACTTCTTGGCCGGCCTGGCTTATCGAGTGTTTAATTGCACTCAGTATATACGTCACAGCACAGACCCTCTCTACACACCAGAACCGTGAGCAAAAGCCCCACACTTTTATTTTGTGTGTAGAAAAGTTCATTTTTCTTATCACTTCTAACCTGTTAACTGTTTTCATGTCGTCAGAGACACCTGTCATGAACTTCTGGGTCATGTACCACTCCTGGCCGATCCCAAGTTTGCTCAGTTTTCTCAGGAGATTGGCCTTGCATCTCTAGGCTCTTCAGACGAGGATGTGCAGAAGCTGGCAACAGTAAGTGTGACTGCAGCTTATTGAATTCTTAAATGTCATATGGAACTTGACGGGCAGGTTTCTAACTAGATACGGAAATAAAAAGGTCACTGAAGTTTTTTCGTGGCGTAAAGTTTAATCTATGGTGTTGAGTCGCGTGCATTTGCATTGAAATCATATCAGTGGGTCTGTATGGCAGACTTTGAGACACAATCAGATCTGGGTATAACGTTTTTGGAAGTCTCAATATGAGAGTGTACATCTCATAAGGGTCTGAAGGAACTTGTAGATAACCTTGCTTCCAAACCTTTGAAATATGCAAGACAATATGTTTATTATGCAATAAACCACTGTGCTTTTTTCCCAGTGCTATTTCTTCACAATTGAGTTTGGGCTGTGCAAACAGGATGGTCAGTTAAGGGCATATGGAGCAGGTCTACTGTCTTCTATTGGAGAGTTAAGGGTAAGAAGCCCTTCATTAACCGTACATAAACACCTCAAGTATTCAAATGTCAAGTTAATGGTTAACTGAATGTATAATCCTCTTTGATTATGCAGCATGCGCTTTCTGAAAAAGCAAAAGTGAAGATGTTTGATCCCAAAACCACATGCTACCAGGAGTGCCTCATTACAACATTTCAAGATGTTTATTTTGTCTCTGAGAGTTTTGAAGAGGCAAAAGAGAAAATGAGGTAGAATATATATCCACTCAGTCATGAACAAATAACATGTAAATCTTACAACAATCTAAAACTCTATTAACAGACTAACTTCATCCGTATAAAAGAGACACATTTGCTCTGTCAATTTAATCACATATATAAATGTATGTCATACATATATCAATTTAATACATTTTTCCTTCTAAACAGGGAATTTGCTAAAACAATAAAGAGGCCTTTTTCGGTCTACTACAACCCATACACCCAGAGCATTGATTTATTGAAGGACACCAGGAGCATCGAGAACGTGGTTCAAGATCTACGCAGCGACCTGACCACTGTCTGTGATGCCTTGGGGAAAATGAACACTTACCTTGGTATCTAGACAAACAGTGTCACCAGTGCTTCATTGTAGAATACAAATACAAATGATTTACATGATTAAATTCAATTTACATTAATACTGTAACATTTGCAGTGATGTTGATTTTTCTGGGCTAAACATCCATTAGTCTTGCCTTGTCATAAGGATATGTGTCACATAAATTAAAGGAATAAGTTCATTTAAAAATGAAAATTCTGTCATCATTTACTCACCCTCAAGTTGTTTCAAACCTGTATAAATGTCTTTCTTCTGCTGAACACAAAAGGAGATATTTTAAAGAATGTTTGTAACCAAACAGTTAACGGACCCCATTGACTTCCATTTTTTCCCCCCTACTATGAAAGTCAATGGGGTCCATCGACTGTCTGGTTGCTGACATTCTTCAAAATATCTTTCCTTGTGTTCATCAGAAGAAAGAAATTCATACAGGTTTGGAACAACTTTGAGGGTGAGTAAATGACAGAATTTTCATTTTTAAGTGAACTATTCCTTTAAGGTGTGAAATATTGCAACCATAGTCATCATATAGCAATCAAAACTAATCATCGCTACAATGTATTAAGACACTAAAGGAACGACAAAGAAAATCAACAGATTTAATATTCATCTCGTCTTTGCCTCTTTGTGCCTAATGTTGTGCTTAAGACAAAATTATAACAGATTTGCATTTTATTTAAACTTCATATTGCTGTATGCAGCAAGTGAATGAAGTTGATACGTACATATAATGAAAAATAAAAATAACTAAGCACTGTTCTGATTCCAATGCCATACTGTATTTGTATGTTTGTGGTGCTTGCTTTATTTGTTGCCCAACAAAGCAAACTTCTCAATCAATAAAGCATTATATTTTAGCATTATATTTTGGTTTGCATTTTAAAAGTGTGCAGCAATGTGTTAATTAAGGACACATTTAATTCACTAACACAATGTTATTTTACATTAAATGTATAGTAATTTGCAAGTACATAGTCAGCAAGTACATAGTCAATACTGAGAATATACACATTTAAATATAAAAAGTAAATAAAAAAAAATCATATTTTATCATATAACTCATAGATCACTAATAACCATCCATTTCACAGTCAATCTTGTCAATGGACCTCGTCGTTGTCATCAAAGGCTTTCTCCTATAGTGAATAAGATGTGACGTATTTAGTATATTGCACGTTATTGTAATTATTTTAATATTTAGTAAGCTGCATTCATTTCTAGTAAACTTGTTTATTTGTAACAATACTTTTCAACAATAGGCTTTGTGGAAATTGTAATTAAATGTAAATGGTGCATAAACTCTCACCCAACCACCGTGCTGTTTAACCCAGGGAGTGAAGTTCTTTTGCAGGTACTGAGCTCCGAATCCCATGACCCTGTTCATGGGGTGAAGGTCCAGGGCTCTGAGTCTGCTGGTGACCTCAAAGGTCAGGGCGATCTGCTCATGTTTGTTTCTGCTCTGAGGAAATTCTGGTACCACACTTTTGATGAAGGCTGAGATCAGTTTTTCAAAAAAGTCGTAAGAGAAAGTACACTGCAGGTATCCCAAAAGCTCATGGTTCTTCTCAATCTGAGAAGGCAAATGGGACATTTAAGAATGTAACAAGATTGTATAACTACAAACTGAACAGTTAGACTACAGACAGATAAAGAGATAATGATGATTACCTTCTCATTTAAGTCATCCCCTGATTTCTTCAGCAAGTCAACAAGCTGCTCTATAACATCTGTGTTTACTTTTATAAAAACAAGCACATAGAACAATTACAGTCTAGATAATTAATAGTGTTATGCAGGATTATATTTCGATGACTTGTATGTCGATGTAAGAATTGAATGTGTATAATAGTAGCCTACACTTTACCAGAATCTGTCTCTAATCCATCGTCAATAAGAAGTCTGCTGTCTACAATCCGGGTCAGTTTTTCAGCCACATTTCCATATTTCTCACCACCTGTTTTTTTTTTTTTTTTTTTTACAGACAATGTCATTCAAATGGCAATTAATGTTATAAAACTCTCCGAAAGAGAAACAAAGTTATCAAGTACAGCATCTCTCTCTGGTCTAACCTGTTTGTGCCTCCAGGCTGCACATAAAGACCCGTTGTGGCTTTCTCTTCTGGCAGTATGTTTCAAGCAGTCGATATTCATCGCTACGTGTTATTGAAGGTGAATCACCTTCCATCATGTAAAACAACCACTGACTTTTGCTGTTTGGATAAAGAGATATTTTTTACGTAAAACACTTAATCAAATCAAAACAAATAATGTGAATTCAACAAGACTTTTAACTGCACTGTTCCAGCTTGTAAACTGAAAGGAGTTCACGTCATAAAGCTAAGTTACAGCTGAAACTTGACACGACGTCAGTGATCAGTTCCTCTAACATCTGAATGCAAAATGCACGAAACTTTGATATAATTCTGTTATCGGACAGCATATAATCTATCGAATGAATGTCAAAGCAATGTGGTCTCAGTCATATCTTAACAGAAAAAACACAACAAAACTGACCAGGAAACTTCTGTCCTCCGGAGTGTGTTGTTGGAGTCGTACGTACACACGTCACGAACACCAGTTTCCTTGTGACGTACACGGACGTTTTGCTGCTTTCATTTTTGTGAAGTTGTCCCCACATTTATTAGGGATCACAATCACATCATGCACAGCTTTCAACTGTTTTGAAAATATTTTGTTCGTATTTTAATTACATGTCTTGAATATTATAAATTCGAGCTAAATTTAGCATAAATATAGGCTATATGGGAGAAATAAGCCCTATATGTTTTCATTTTAAAGGTAGAAGTTCGAGTTTGAAAAATAAGAAAGCTGTAAAATGTGTTAATATTTGTAAAAATGTCCTTGTTTTTATTTAACATTTAAACCATATTGAACCTATACAAGAACCCCGGTGTTGGTATTTGTAAATCCTTAAAACTAACGAAAAGAATAAAGAGGTGACTGCAAGAATAATTTTAGAGCATGTAGGCCTATGTCCTCCATGGTTCTTGTTCTTTCTGACAACAAGCACTTGAATGCGAGCTGGTATCACGATTTCAGAAATGGGAAGAAGGGAATTTCCAATAGCACGTGAAGGCAGCCCATAGAAACAGACAATGCATCTTGGTCACTTTGTCTGTAGGCTAAATGATGCTGCCTTCAGAAATGTCCCACTTCCCACTTCTCAAATTGAGATTATCTTGTCGCATTCAAATGCTTTGTTGTCAGAAAAATAACAGGAACCATGGAGGACACCAGGTTTATTCTTCCCTATTAATTGGGACAATCTTATTAAAGCCAAAATTATATTTAGCGTCCCATATTCATTGACAACGATTTAAACATTCACCACGCTATCTAAAGTCAGCTTGCTGCTGACTATTCTGGAATTTTGGTCAAATACGGCTATTTACGCTGTGTATAATATACAATACATTCATGCTTCAAATGATTAGGCCAATACCCACAATAAATTAACATTTATAAATATTAAAACCTAAATATTATACATCATATGCTAAATATTACATATCAGGGGTTTCTGCACATTATTTTTTTCTTTCACATTATTACAATTATTTTTATCAGACTTGTGACGTGATCGTTTTAAAAATGCTCAATGTAACAAGAATTAGAAGAACCCCCCCCCCCCCCCCCATAATAATACAAAATAATAAAATTGCAACTTTGTCCTGACCCATGCAACATCATTCTACTATAAGACACCAACATTTTAGATACCTGTGAAAAGAGTCCCAATTTCGATACCACAGCAAAAAATACTAACTAGTTCAAACATTATTAAAAACAAGTAAACAGTAGGCTAAATAAGAAAATAAGAACACATAGACAAATTACATGCAATAGCACAAATAAATACAATATACAAAGATTAAACAAATGAAATAAACAGGGCTTTCAGATTTTCAGGTATAGGTCTAACAGTTCATTAGTTCTTCTACTAATATTATTCATGTGGTAGAATAATCATAAAGTAACAGTCTTCACCGAATATCTAATTATAGATTAATCCTTGTTAAAGCTACAAAAGTTATTCAGTCAAGATCAGTGAGTGATTTTCTCTGTCTTTTGTTGTTTGATTAACATTAATGACAGACAGCAGCAGGAATATTAGGCTGCTGTCACTTTAAGACCTAATGCACGGATCCAATGCTGCCTTCATGTGCTATCGGAATTATTGTAAATACTTAGTTAAAAATTGGACATTAAAGCCCTCTCAAGACATATTTACCACTGGAAAGTTAGGGGATAATTTTGATACCCATGCATGTTCCCATGGGCGGGCCACAAACTTTAAACATGGTGGAGGGGAGAACGATTGCTGCTGTGACTTCTTTATTCGTTTTTTCCCCCACAAATGCTACATCGCCTTGTCTAGTTGTTAAAGTAGTGAATATGATTATTATAGATTAAAATAAAATTGCAATTACTAACAAACTTACTACTAATACAAAGGAAAAAGTAGCCTATACTAATTCATTGCAAAAAGGTTTCTATGAGTTTGTCTGAAAAAACAAAAGGACAGTAAGATTTTTATTGTCACCAAGTAACAATATTCTGAATATTATATCTACTAATAATCATTTTACGTAATCATGTTTATGCATTTTTATATCAGTGAAAACTAAAAGCCACAAGCAATTTACAGTATTTAAAGATTAAATAATTTAGTTAATAATTTTATAAGTAATGTTCAGGAGGGTTTTTTTTATGTCTTAATGTCATATATCAGATGAATAAGTCATAAAGGAAACTTCACTTGGGATGCTGTTGCTCTTGAGTAGTTGTTTGTTCTTTTTCAGCAATCTTCTTCCAGCAGGGTAGTTGTTTTGCACGGGACATGTAAAACACAGGCCCGATGCAGGCCCCAAGACTGGGAAAGGCATTCATCAGATTTAAGAACAAACAGTGTGAGTCACTAACTTCTTTATCTCCATCATCAAGTGTGAGCACGTAAGGGGCTATAGCCAGGAGAGGTGCGTAGATTACAGCCGTTGGGATTAGAATCAATAAGGTGTTCTTAAGTGCTCTGTTTTTTATGGGTGAGCCACCTTTTCCACCTGTTTGCCCTTCACCTGGACCTTTTTTTGAGAGTGCACACACAATGCCCATTAGACATGCAAACATTATCAGTAAGAAAACATCAAGGATGATTGACAAGTACAGAGCTATTTTAGGGAGCCTTTCTTGGTAGGTAATCAGTGCAATGCCTAAAGTTAAGATCCAGATTACAGTCGAGCAGAAAACACGATGCTCCCATTTACTCCCTAGTTTCATGTAGAGGACTGCATGTGCTGCGGCCAAGTAGCGCTCCACACACATACTGGTCAAGAGGAGAGGACAGCCGATTATGTTGAGGACAGAGATGGCCTCAGAAACTATGTGAAGCGTTCCAGTGGGTTGAGTCAGAGAATTGTACACAAAAAGAGGAAGACTGACACAGTAGAGTATGTTCATCACGGCAAGATTGAGCCCCGAAACTTCAGAAGGTGACAAAGCTTTCTCACCCCTCACCAGCAGCCATAGTAGAGCCAAATTAGTTGGGAGACCCACCACGAGAGTTAAGATTTGCAGTGGCAAGCGAACACAGGAATAATCTTTTTCATTGCACTTATCCACAATAATAAGAAACAACAATGGAAAATTGCTTGTATTACTGTAGATTGCGTGTGTATTGGTTTCATTTGATATGCTGTTGGTCATGTTGATTGAGCACTATAGAGAAACAAAAAGTTGCTTGAATTACAAAAACAAGGCAAATATATAGCAAAAATGCATTTAAACTATCATCTAAAAACAGTAATATTGTGAAATATTGTTACAGTTTAAAATAACTGTTTTAAATTTGAACATATTTTAAAATGCACTCAAGTCTTCAGTATCACATGATCCTTCAGAAATCATTCTAAACAATTTAATTAGATAATAAAAGGAATGATTTCTTTCATTAAAAAATCTTACTGAAGCCAAATTTATGAGACACACACTCAAATAATACATATATATTTAAATGTATAAACAAGATCAAATAAAATAAGTTGTGAAAGTGTTACTGAAAATGTTGAGATATATAAACTGACCTTTTCAGGCTATGAGATCAATTTTATTGTTCGCTGTCCTTCTCTCTTCTTGACAGATCTTAAATAAATCAGTTCTTGTTCTGTTTTGTCAAATGTAATTTAAATAAAATTATTTGAATTTCTGTGCTGGTTCATTGAGCGCATTTTGTCCACAACCCAATGTAAATGAGAGATTTTTTTCTCCACATCTTTTCGGGTTTCGAAAAAACACATTTGGCAAATTTTACCCAAATCGACGAGGGCATCTGGACTCAATTAAAGGCAAAAGGAAAACAGATCGACCCCAACAGTTTATTACAAATGAATCAGTGCGTTTAAAGTGCAAATTTTACAGATAGATTTTAAGTTAACAAATGTATAAACTCTAATCAAGAGTGCATACCGCTTCTTTACAACACATTATGAATATGACATTATGAAAATGGGTGGTAGTTGGCCACCACAAGCAAATTACTATGTGCAAAACAAAAAGATTTTGCTCTTACTTTCTAACAATATCATCAAAACGTCTATTTACAGTTTGGTTAAATTAGGTATAGTGCTATCAGTTGTCAGATTTGACAAGAATAACCAGGTCAAGATATATTTACAATATAGCAGATATTAAAAGATATCATCAACATTAAAAATATCAAAGTGCTTCTGGTTACGCTGACCAGTTAAATCTGTGCAGTGTTGTTTGTATTGTCTTGGCCACATTCAGTGCTGCTGATGAGAAAGTCGACTAATGGTTGCATGTCTATGGGTGGGTGACGGAAGGAGCGTGTGGGGTCTTGTTTTTGGGAGGTGTAGAAATCTGTACGTAAACTGGGGTGGTAGAAGAAGTGGAGGGGTTTGGCTCAGTTTGAACCCTCTGGAACACAAGGGCTGGGTAACTTTGGCTGTTGGCGTGGTATGTAGGGTATGTGGTATGGGGGCTTCTCAGCAGGCTCTCTTGACTCCTGTGTACAAAGAAAGAGAATTTAGTGATGTACAAAATCATAGAAACTTCTTATAGGTCTTATGGCTTTACACATCCTCCCAACTATTACATAATAGTAGAAAATGTGGTTTGGTTGTAGCGAGTGGGCAAGGGTTGAGGGTTTCAATACACGTAAGAGGCCTATTAATATACAGGCACGACAAGAAGGGAGGCTATTCCTGTTGTAAGTGTACTGTGAGTCTCTGTGGGGAGAAATCGGCTAAATAAACAAATATATTTGACAAATTTTCCTTACCTCTCATACCCTCTGTTCTCATAGGCTCTGATGACCTCGGAATAAACAGGACTTCCAGGAGGCAGCGGTCGATCAAGACGTTGGGACAGGCTGAAAAGTTTAGGCGGTGGGAATGCCTCCCAGTCCAGCTGCTCTCTCTCCAACCAGGACGGGCTCCTCCGAGTCCTAGAGCTCCGTGTTTCTCTTCTCCTAAAGGTGAACAAAGACAGTACCAACACATTTAGTATTATGATTGTTAAAAAAAAATCATTCTAACTTTAAAACACAGTATCCCACGTTTTTACAGATTACGCTTCCCAGACAGCAACATAGTGTCGGCCCAGATCCGGCCCACATCTGGGCCATGTGGAATCCATGTGGACCAGATGTGACACTATATGTTCCTGTCTGAGTTAAGCCCTGACTAAAATGGTTTTAACTGAAAGCAACTTGCACTGACAAATGGGACCCTGGATCACAAAACCAGTCACAAGTAGCACGGGTATATTTGTGGGCAATAGCCAACAATACATTGTATGGGTCAAAATTATCGATTTTTCTTTTATGTCAAAAAACATTTGGATATTAAGTAAAGATCATGTTCCATGAAGATATTTTGTAAATTTCTTACCGTAAATATATAAAACGTTTATTTTTGTGAGTGAATGCAGCACAATCGCGAACATAAATGGACAACTTTAAAAGCGATTTTCTCAATGTTTCGATTTTTTTACACCCTCAGTTTCCAGATTTTCAAATAGTTGTTTCTCTGCCAAATATCGTCCTATCCTAACAAACCATACATTAATGGAAAGCTTATTTATTCAGTTTTGTGACTGGTTTTGTGGTCCAGGGTCCACAAAAATGACATATTTTAAAATATGTCAGTGCCATTGTTTTGTCTCAAGTAACGCCAGTAATGTTTTTTTTTTATAAAAGCTAATTAATGATGACCTTTTCTAAGAACAAACCATTTGTTTTTAATTCATTTCACCAAGAATTCAAGGTCATTCTAATGGATGAATGAATTCAGTTCCCTAATGTTTGACAACCAGAGAGTGTCCAGATATTTAGTCTTAACTTTGCCTTAATTTAAACGCTAACAAACACATTTTTGGTAAAATGCTTTATTTGATCAAATTTAAGACAAACATATTTAAGATCTTTTTTCTATATTTAAAATAAATGCCACTTGATTTGATAATTTGATATGTAATGCAATTATACATTCATCTTTTTATCTTTCTATCTTTAAGTGTCATGGGGCTAATATATATTTGTTTTGTTTATCAGATGACGCAAACTCTGAATCAACATGTACCAATGCTATATTTTCTAAATGTCATAATCATTCGTTAACAAACAAGTATTACTTCAATGAGCTCATTGTATCTGCATTCAATTATTACATTGTTTAAATGAATACATTTTGAGCTAACTGTGATTTTTTATATGTACATTTCTGAAATACATCAATTAGACAGTTACCTCTGATAACATCACTCTACATTGTAATATGGACTCATGCACTTTCTGTAAAGCTGCTTTGAAATTATATCTATTGTGAAAAGCGCTATACAAATAAGCGTGAATTGAATTGAATATTTTATTGAAAGACACCACTCTTTTTTTAATGATTTTGATGAATTTTAATTAAAAAAAATTAATTATTAAAGTGACTAACCTGCTTCTGCCCATCCGATGATTTTCCTTCTTTTTGCTCATGCGCTCTTGACAACAGCAGACGATGAAGCACACAGTCATGACGAAGATGACGACCCCGCTCACTACAGACACCAATAAAGCAATGCGAAGTCCCTGGTCATTTGGCCGAGGGATACCTGGAAAAAAAAATTGTGTTGGTTTTAACAGATTTGATGGCCAGTTATATTAAAACTGAGAGAAACTGTAAATATTCTTTAGAAAGAAATGTTCTTTCAGATTTTAAATTAAGATATTTGCTCACATTTGGGGAAAATAAACAAAGTTGTAATAATTTTTCTTTTTTTACAAGTACATTTCTTTCCATAAAGGGTAATTGAATGGCTGCCCTACTCTCACAGACTGGCAGGTAGCTGCTCCATCCTGGGACGCCTGCATGCAGGATGCATGTGATTTTCTCAGGGCCAACCAGCTGGTAGCCCTCCTTACACCAGAACACAAGCATAGAGCCCACAGACACCCCTGTGCCGTGCTCCACGTAGTAGGATCCCCGTCGTGGGGGAAGCACAGAAATACACACAAGCCCTGTAGACATGTAGATAGATAAGATGAGAGCAAAGACTTTGAATATTCTGTGATGTGTTAAACTGTGTAAATTGACTCATATAACACATGAAATCCTTTCAAATCCTGTTTATGGATCACAATAAAACCTTTAATGGAGAATGATTGTATCATTCCAGTTGTTTTGCATATGTTATAGTTTTTCTTTCTGCCTCATGCATCTTGCTGCAGACTCGTGTTTCCTTTGCTGTGAGACATCTCACCAATCTTTGTATCCTGTGGTGAACCACAGTGAATTTTCATTAATGTGTCTGTCTTGTATTTGCATGGTGTTCTGTGAGTATATGTTGCTTTGAATCAGTGCCAGCATATCAGTGACTGTCTTTGTCTTCCCTATACCCAGCCTCTTGTCCCATGATCCCAGCTCACTATCAAATATACTCC